AAATAAATAAATAAATAAATAAATAAATAAATAAATAAATAAATAAATAAATAAATAAAGAGTAGGCCTTTTGTCTTAGGAAAAAGTGCATATTATTTGATTTGGGTTTATATCCTGAATGAGTGTGTAGACCAGACAGAGAATATGTATTAAAAGTTAAATTTCAGTGTAAATTCTTAACACAAACATCTATGGACAATAGTTAAGATGTAATAGAGGAAGGAAGGAGGGAGGAAGGGAGGGAGGGAGGGAGGAAGGGAGGACCTGTCAGACAGAGGGCCAGAGCAGTGAGAGTGGCATTACCTTTGATGGGAAATAAATGAAATAAAAGAGGAAATAAAAGGAAAGGGAAACCTTTGGTCCTTATAACCAAAGGCTGATGTTCTCCCAATAAGAAATAAAATACAGAAAAAGTCTTTGGCCTAAGTTAAACCCATTAGCAATGCATTTTAAGAAACTCATGCACTGGTTGTCTTCAGAGTAGCAGGTATGTGATGGTTTGGTTTTAGCATTTAATTCAATGATGCACTTGCAGATTGCATTTAAAGGGTAAAGATATACATTTGATTCAACAGATCTCATTTCACAGTTTATACAAGAAGCTTCAATTCACATTTTCCCGTTTGTTTTGCTTCAGCAATACCAGACCAAGGAGGCCTAGCTGCACTGTTACCCTCCCACCCAATGTATGGATAAATACAGAGGGAAATAATCACTGGGAGGAATTAAAGTTAGGTCATACATCAACTCTGCTTAGCTGGCATCCAAACACATAATTCACATTGCTGAAGAGCCTCTAGTGATGGCTTATCCACTACACATCAATTGCAGAAGAGGCTGTAACTTTATTAGAAGCATAATTTAATCCTAATTTAAACACTTAGGATTTAAACACCACTTTCTGAATGGTCAATGCGTAACAATTAACCCATGTGTGAAATTAAATTCAACCCTAAGGAAGGTTTACACACATGTTGTTTTCAATTCCGTCTGAACCCTTCCCAAGAAAACCATATGCTGAAGGATTAAAAGGCAATTTAACCAGCCTGACCGAGCACCACCATCCTACCCTAAGGAAAATCATCTTAGCAGTCATCACCTGCCTACTATAAAACATCTGAATGTGTATATCCATAGTCCATTTTTAAAAAACCAACAACACCATTTCTCTAATATTAGGTTGTTTAAAATTTACTCTTCATGAATATACACAGCCATTGAGCATTTGTGTGGTTTCACATTGCCTGGCGCTGCTTGGAACCTACTGCTACTGCTACTACTATTGCAGTCAGTCACCTTTTATTACCTGTTTGATTCACTTAGTACTTGGTGAGCCACCTGCAGAAAAATCTACCTTTCTTCCCCCAGGCTCGGTATCTCCAAGAGCGATCTTATCCAGAGAGTGTGGATGAGCCTGGGAAGTCCATCAAAACTGAGGCAAGAGCTATCAAATCATGATCCCATAAACAAAGGTAAGTAATGTTTCCCACAGGGGCCTGGGGGAAACTTCTGTCTTGTTGGCTCTGATGAGACGTTGTAGTGAAAATCAGGCTACACCAGGCTATAAAAGGTGGTAAGGAAGTGTAAAGGGCACCTCGCCACTCTCTGACACCAAACTGTACTTCCAGCCCTCCATCATCCAAATGTAAACTTTCTCTTATTATAGAGCAGAAAAATCCACACATCCCCTATGACCGTGCATCGAGTTTACTATAGAACTTAAATCCACTAAACAAGCTTCCCTAACAGTTTTGCCCAAGTTAGGAGTGAACCAAGAACGAAAGCAGCGATTTCTGGCTAAGACCCAGCTTTGTAGCTTTGCCCCTGCCCTTGGATGGGAAGGCTGAAGGAGAGGGTTAGGAGGGGGACAGCAGGTGCTTAGCTCACGGCAAGTCTGAAGGAAGGGTCCTCTGCACAAGGAAAGCAAGCTCTGAGCACCCAGAGCCTGTGCAAGGACAGTCCTTGGGAACTCTCTGGTCAGGTTGCCCCTGGAGCTGCTGCAAACTGGCAACTTTTGTCCCTACCCGTGGAATAGCACACGGGGCTCAGTTCCTGCTCTTCCCCCACCACCTTCCCTTTCCTCTGTGCCCTGTGTCTCAGTAAAGTCTTCTCTGGGCACTACCTTCAGGTTTAGAAAATTTTAATCCCTTCTCTGCCTCATCTTAAGAGATTTATAAACTTCTATTCTTATTTCATATTCATGACTATTAAAAACAACATCGTGTTTTATCATCTTTTAGACGCAATCATGCATATTCATAACCATTCTTGAACTAGGGAGGAATCCTTATAAAATAGCACAGATAGTCTGAGGAGGGGGCAAGATTTGGGTAGATGAGAGCTTTTTAACACTTTTCTACAGTTATGGTTAAGAAATTATATCTTATATATAACTCTATAGGTGATGGTAAATTCTCCTTTTCCTCTTAATGAAATTGAAATTATTTTTTATCATTATTCTAATAAAAATTCTTCCAACACATAAATACTTTTCTTTACTCTTTTTTTAAAAAAAATATTTTATTTTATTATTATTTTTTCCATCACCATGTATCTCCTCTATGCCCTCTTCCATCTTTTTCAATGATAGTCCTTAAGCACTGTTGTTAAATACACTCAACTAACTTCCCCTTTCTTCATTNTTTTATTATTATTTTTTCCATCACCATGTATCTCCTCTATGCCCTCTTCCATCTTTTTCAATGATAGTCCTTAAGCACTGTTGTTAAATACACTCAACTAACTTCCCCTACTTCCCCTTTCTTCATCNAATACTTTTCTTTACTCTTTTTTTAAAAAAAATATTTTATTTTATTATTATTTTTTCCATCACCATGTATCTCCTCTATGCCCTCTTCCATCTTTTTCAATGATAGTCCTTAAGCACTGTTGTTAAATACACTCAACTAACTTCCCCTTTCTTCATTGGACTTTTCTGTACTTAGGTGTAAACTCCTTTAGACAGGAATATGTCTATTTTAGTGGATTCTGACCAATAGGTAATACGGACTGTCCTATTACATGTAGTCATGTAGCAGTGCTTCCTCAGGAGAATGCTGGCTAAGAGCTATAAATGGAATCAATCGATTCATTCCTCATAAATTACTGTTAACCCCATTTTACAGATGAGGACATTGAGGCATGGAAGTATTAAGTGATCTGCACAAGTTACAAAGTGTGGCAGTGGCTAGTAATAAAAAGAGAAACAAATATGGTGTGAGTCTTCATTTTTTTAATGATTTCCTCAACTTCCTCTACAGAGGCTGATACTCTCCACACAAACAGTCTCTCAAAATGAGGTAATAGAAAAGCAAAAAATGAGAGCTGAGTTCTCACTGGTCAGGATCCACGAAGTCCACAGTTCCCCATATAATTTCTAGTTCACTTGTTAATTTTCAATACTTCCCTCTCCCCTTAGAAATACTTAAGCTGATTGTATCCAAAAATAAATCTGGCTAGATATTGTTCAAATATCTTAATCTCTATCATTAAAATAGGCTCTGGTCACCAGCAGTAATTTTGTTTGCAGATACTATTAATATATGAATATTTCTTACAAGTCTCTCTGCCACAGAGAACATTGTTGTAAAATGCAAAGAGAGTTCAATAGGGAAAAAATTAAACTCAAACATCTTTTTAGATGAACTCTATTGGTTATCAAGATTTCCCAAACCCAGTTAGCCTCTTAGCAAATGAATTTTGCGAAAATGAAAAATAAATTTCTTTGAGCTTCTCTACAGGGATATGATGAAAGTGAACAATTAGAACTTGCAAGTGAGTTCTGCTTCTAAGTATAAAAAAATAAAATAATAATCACCCATAATCCCACCATTCAAAAATCCCCACTCAACATTTCAGCACATTTCTTTCCAGTGCTTTTCTCCCTATTTTTTAAACATAATAAGTAGATTATCTTTTAAAACTCGAGGTTTACTCGAACCATTTATTCAAGAAGTTTGTTCCCCCGTCTTCAGGAAAGATTCCTATTGCCTCCCTATCCCCCTGTAATGTATTTCTCTCTGTCAAAGGAAAATCAAGTTATTGACAGAAATATCAAGCTACTTTAGCCATTCCGCTGCCTCCTTACCCATTTAGAAGATACATTCTTCAATTAAAATTAAAGATTAACAGAGCCCTAGATGGTTAGCATGCATCCCCTTGTGTCCAGAGGTGATCCAACTATTCTTACTTAATTGGTGGTGCTTACAGATGGCGTTTAAAGGTACACGCAACGAAAGGGTCAAGTTTAAGACTTCTCCAAACCTCCACTCTCCATCTCTGTTAATGGCCTTCCTGGTGTTAGAGATTTGTTTAATGATCAATAGAGCTTTCTATTCCTACCACGGAGTCTTTCAGAAAGTAGCATAGCCAAGTCAATGTTTAACTGGATTCTTTGGGTCTGAAACGGCCAAGTGGGAGTTGAAGGGACGTCTCCATGGAAACCGGCCTCCCTGGAAGTGGCCAGAGGGGTTAGTGTGTGGTGAAGTAGACCTACAAAGATGTTCCGAAGGAAGCAGCTGCTTTGTAAAGCTGGGGTAAACTTCTGAAATACCTTGATTAAAACAACCCACCTTAAAGGCCCCACACCGCTTCCCTCATGGGTTTCTTTTGACTCTCTCTCATGTACAATGGGCCTGAGCCACTCCAAGGCTCACCCTAGAGTGACCAAAGTAGCACCTTTGCAAAACAAAGGGGAAGAGACACCCTCCCCTGGCCCTATGGACTTTGCATTCAGCCAGAACCTGGAAGAAAGGAGCACATATTCACTGGCAAGACTGCAGGACCGGAATAAAGCTTTGGAAGGGCAGCTGCCGCCTCTGCGAGAGACCTGGTGTGGAAGATATCCTGCAGGTAAACATGAAGCCCAGCATGGGATTTGTGTATTTGTGCCAAGGGGAGCCATTGATTGATTTACCTGTCTAGACCCATAATCTCAGAAAGTTTCTATATTCCTGAATATAAGGGAACATCTTTCAGTGGGAGACTGAATATCAGTTGTAACTACTCTGGGGACATTAGAATGGGTGTGTGAACTGCGTCAAGGGCTTTTCAGCATTCCATGTGAGAAGGAAAAATCATTTGTTTCAGCTTACAGTGCTTTCAATGTTTATACCTAGCTTTGCCAGACAATTAAAATTATTTAGATAAAGGTGTGATAGACTGTGAAGATTGTATGTTTCATTTAGATTCTAAATTTAAATCCTCTCCAGCCTTTAATGCATTGAGCTTTGTTCTGAAAGCAGCCCTGTAGGAGTTCATTCTAATGTGAATTTTGAAACCACCCCAAACAAAATTGATTTATTGCAGCACAGATGAGTGGATGAGTCACCCTCTCCCTAACCCCATATTTTCATGGTCATCTGCAGAACTAAGAGAATTTTTTTCCCATTGTGATAGGAAGCTCTGAGCCTGAAGTGGCTATAAATTATCCTGGGATGTTTTACAAGACATTCTAACTTGGGAAGAGAAATATATATACACAGTGTAAACTTACATATATATGTACGTAATTTTCTCCTTTCTTCACATTCTGGATCAATAACACATTATCAAGCTCCCGTTATTGGTCACCTGGGCCAGAAAGCCTTAGATTCTATTTTGGTACCTAGTAAATCTTACCTAGAATGATATGCATGGCTACTTTCTGTAACTGACAACCTTTGGTTGGTTCTATATGACCTAGGTTGTTTATGTTCTTCAGCTTCCTAAGGATATGAATGAGAATTTTCCTCTTAATGTTATTGAAGAATTCCTTTTTAAAAAAAATCTAAACCCTTTATCCAGAGTTTTAAGATTTTGGTAACTGAATGGTAAAAGCGGATTCTAATAGATTAGAGTCCCATTTTGAAATGGCAAAATCACATTAAAAATAAATAACTAGGGGATAGTGAGCATTTCTACCATTATTTTCAAGGGGACTGTATTCTAACCCCAGCTCCACCAAATACCAAATACTAAAATTCAGGCAATTTACTTCCTCAGTTTTCTTTAACTATAAACTGGGGTAAAAATAACTACCTGGCACTGTCTATGCCATTTCAGGACAATCAAATTAAATAATGGGGTGATATCACTCAAATCATAGTATATAATTATGGAGTAGTCAGGCTACTGAAGAAAATTTTGCGAAAATATTTAGATTGCTAAATCCAACGTCTTTTTCTTTGCCATTGCTGTTATTTCTGTCTTGCTCACTCTGCCGGCATCTCTTAAAAGAAAATAAGGACACAGGAAAGTTCTTAACGTGATCATTGAAATGTCATACTTTCCCAGGAATTTTTCCATTTAAAATGCAAAGTGGAACTGTAGAATAGTCTACACAAGAACCTAAAAATCAGAATGCTTCCAGCTTGTTGAGAAGAAAGGAAAAGAGCTTCATCCATGCAGTGTTGGTCATGGCAGGAGCTCCAAGGACCCAGGACAAGGAAGCTAAAAAATCAAATTCAGAATGAAGATCTTGGGCCTCTTTGTTTCCTAACAATTTAGGTTTAGCCCTGCGTTGTTTTATCAAGAAAGAATACTGACATGTTGTATTATAGTGGCAACTTTTGGGAATGTCTTTCCCTGGTTAGGGGAACTATTTAATTAGGAACATACAATGCTCAGCATTGCATACTCCTATTACACGCTCATGCTCCATTTCTTTATCACCTCTACCTAATATCTATTCATCTATTTCATCTAAAAAGAGAATGTATTTTCATTTCTTAAAGCTATATTTTACCCTGATTTCCTATATTATTTTGGGGTGATTTCAAGAAATTAAAATATATCAATAATTTCTATTTTTCATGCCAAATTCTGTGCTTGAATAACATTTGTCATCAATACATTTTTAATTGTGCAGATCTTCCTCTAAATATCAATCTGGGGAAGAAATGAGGAAAGCAGAAATTAAATCCTGGGTCTAGGCTAATGTTTTTACATTTGCATTCATGTAGGGCTCCTGCTTTATATATTTCATCTCCACATTCTACCCATAGGTTAGAAATATATAACAAAGAAGGTACAAAATTGTGTTAACAACGTCTAAAAACTAATTGTCAACCTAATTTAATAATAAATTGTTTCTAATGTTTTTTTTCTTGCTTCTCCCCCAACCCTTCAAGTGCCCAGAGACATGTATTTTGACATCCCACTGGAACAGGGAGAAACAAGTATTATTAAAAGGCATCCACCCCGAAGACTGCAAGTAAGATGACTTTAAAAGGCTTCATAAGGAATTTAATGGTCACATCCCATTTTAACTATAATCATAAAAGACGGTTATCGACAAGGACCAAGCAAATGAGAATGACAACAATGTTAAAGAGAATGTTATCAATGCAAAGGCCATCTTTCATTAGGTTTTCTTTTGTAATGATTTCACTTTTAAGGCTACCACCAAAAGAAGGAAGTATAGTACCAAAGACAGGTCTGAAGAGGCTCAAAGGACCTGAAGTTTGCACAGATTAGCTGGGATGACTATGGGGAAATCACTTGTAATAAACACTAATAACAACAATAGCTACCACTATTTAATTACCACCTACTACAAGTCAGAGACACTCTAGACAACTCGATCTGTGTCATTCATTTAATCCTCATACCCCTCCATGAGAGAGGAAGTATTATCTTTGCCTTATACACATGGTTCAGAGAGTTAGCAAGGACAACAGAGGCCAGAGATCAACCAGGTCTCCAAAGCTCCTGCTTTAACCAGGCAAAGATGATCTCTACAGCTCTTCTGTCCCTCACCTTTTATTGTTCTGTTACCTGGTTGCTGGAATCGAGGACATTAGATTTTAAGGCAGCAAAGCAAGAGTTTTAAATGCACTCGCCTTAATAAATATTTAATGAATTTTCTCTAGAGAACTGTAAAGTCTAAGAACTCTCATCCTAGAAGGGGAAAGAAATACGAGCGGGTCCTTGGAAATAAGCACCAGCTGAAAGGAGGGCTGGGGGCCAGAGGGAGGGGGGTCATCCCTGTGAGCAGGATCTGTCACTGACATTTGAAAAATAATAGGGGACAAATCCCACCAGCTACACAGTTCACTCAGATGCCTGGACCAATCCCAGGTGTGTCTGAGCTCACTTGTTAGGCATTATTTCTGTTTCGGTTGGTCTTTATTTACCTGTGTTCTCCCAAAGCTCACAATCATTATTTGATGTGATTATATTCTTTGGCCACACAAAAAAGCATCTTTTCCCAAACTATTAAAAAACCTCAACATATTGTTTCATGAAAAATAAGTTGATTTACAATTTTTGAGCATATCTCCAGCTAAACTGAACAATTTTAAAACTTACGCTTTATTCCTAAATCAAATGCATCCTTTCAAAGGAGTGCATCTAACCTGTGTTCCTGTGGAAACTCTAGCTTAATATCTCCAGTAGGAAATGTGACCACAACCAGTGGAAAGTGTGTAGCAGTCTGCAGTTCACAAAGTACTTTTTATATCTATCAACCCTAAATAAGCTAAAAGAGTCCGTCAAGTCCATCAGGCTCAAGAAGAGAAGTCTGGTATTTCAAAGGCTACATCCCCACATCCTAACCAACCACCTTAAAAAAAAAAAATCAAGGCAAATGAATTATTTGGGTGCAAAGACCGTCTTATTCAGTCACTAATACTTAATATGTACCCCACAATATTTTGTGAGTGAATGAACAGGTGAATGAAATGAGACCCATTATCCCTGGTGGGGAGAAAAAATCAGAGTGCTCTCCCTCCCACAGACCTGTAGCCTCACTATATTGGAAGTCCAATTGACCAACCAAAACAACCAATGTGATTGTCGGTTATAAGGAGAGAGGAGTGTTTTATTGAACCCAAGAGTTGGGAGGTACCTGGACTGCCGGGAAGAGCTGTGCCTTGGAACCTGAAAGGCAGAGCTCTCTATGTGTCATCCCTAAGCTCTTCTCTAGGAATTTGCTTTATTCTCTCCCTGCAAATCGACTTTCTCAGCTCCTTAACACCACTGGTGATATATGACCATTAACTTGCATCTTATAGTTCCAGTCAAACAGAGTGGCCTGGCCCTCTTGGCTCCAATTCCAAATTCCTGGGGAAAAATCTTATTGGCTCAACTGTGCTCATGATTCCAGTTTTGGTCCAATNCCTGGGGAAAAATCTTATTGGCTCAGCTGTGCTCATGATTCCAGTTTTGGTACAAAGAGCCATGACCAGAGGATGTACTCATGCAGTGGAAATGTAGGCAGAAAAGTCCCCCACCTTAGGTTCTGAAGGCAGCTCCCCGAGAAGAGGGAAGTCACCGGGAACTTGGCAGATAACTGAAAAATATCAACTGTAATTATCTTCACAAATGAGACTCAGCATATTTTCCACTACAAATGGGTTTTTTTTAGAGAATAATAAATGCTGGATTCCCATGACATGCTAATGAATAGCCTAATCTCTGCCAGAGAAAATTCTAAAAGTATTTTCAATCATTAAACCAAGTCTAACTGCACCTTAAATAATCTGAGTTGCATATGTGGCACTTTCTACTTACTGAACATCTATCCTCAAGTAAAGAGCAGGTCATGAACTAAGATTCTCTCCAACTTGGAGTTTCTTAGACCTGAAAGCCTCTTCCAGGAAACTCAAGCAAATGTGCCTGCCCCATGTTGAAGAGATGACCATCACTGTCCCTTCTGCCCTGATTCACCTTCTCATCAGCCACCTCAGGTCCAGCCTAGGATGGAGATGTCCCCCCCCCCC